GCCCCCCACCATCCCGCTGGCCTCCCCCTTCCTCCCAGCCTCCGCCGCCCCCATGCAGGAGAAACGCAAGTCCATCCTGCGGGAGCCCACCTTCCGCTGGACCTCCCTGAAGCATTCCCGGGCAGAGCCGCAGTACTTCTCCTCAGCCAAGTACGCCAAAGAGGGGCTCATCCGCAAACCCATCTTCGATAACTTCAGGCCCCCGCCGCTCACCCCGGAGGACGTGGGCTTCGCCTCTGGCTTCTCAGCGCCGGGAGCAGCGGCGCCAGCACGGCTCTTCTCCCTGCACTCCGGCTCCAGGTTCGACGTGCACAAGCGCAGCCCCCTGCTGCGGGCGCCCAGGTTCACCCCCAGCGAGGCCCACTCCCGCATCTTTGAGTCCGTCACCCTGCCCTCCGCCGTGGGACGAAGCGCCGCGGGCACCTCGGCAGCCGGGGTCTCCTCCCGCAAGAGGAAGAGGAGGGTGTTCAGTCCCATCCGCTCGGAACCCAGGTCTCCCTCGCACTCTATGAGGACGAGGAGCGGGAGGCTCAGCAGCTCAGACCTGACAGCCCTCACCCCACAGTCCTCCGTCTCCTCCTCGCTCACTAGCATCTCCGTCAGTTCTCTTGCCACTAGTGCCTTAAATTCCACTTTCACCTTCCCTTCCCATTCCCTGGCGCAGCCTGGGGAGTCGGCAGAGAGGAGCCAGAGGCCGAGGAAGCAGAGCAGCGCTCCGGCAGAGCCCTTCTCCTCCGGCAGCCCCGCTCCCCTCTTCCCCTGGTTCACGTCCAGCCCCCAGACCGAGAGAGGCAGAAACAAGGAGCGGGCGGCGGAGGATCTCTCCAAAGACAAAGACGCTGACAAGAGCCTGGAGAAGGACAAGAGCAGAGAGAAGGACCGAGAGAGAGAAAAGGAGAACAAGCGGGAGTCGAGGAAAGAGAAGAGGAGGAAAGGCTCGGAAATCCAGAGCGGCTCCACTTTGTTCCCTGTAGGTAAAATGCCCAAAGAAAAAGTTGTCAGCGAAGACGTTGCGGCATCGTCGTCTGCCAAAAAACCCACCGGGCGGAAGAAGTCCACGGGCACGGATCCAGGGGCAGAGGTTTCTGCTGCTGCGCTGGCCGACCCGGCAGCCGTCAAAGCCAAACCCTCCAAGAAGGGCCGCGGGGGGCTGGACAAGTCAGAGATGGAGCTCAGTCCCACTGCACCCTCACTGGAGAAGGACAAAGCCTTGCGCCTCTCTGCCCCCTCCTCCAGCACAGTGAAACATTCCGCCTCCTCCATCAGCTCCATGCTGGCGCAGGCCGACAAACTGCCCATGACCGACAAGAGGGTGGCCAGTCTCCTCAAGAAGGCCAAAGCCCAGCTCTACAAGATCGAGAAGAGCAAGTCCCTCAAACAAGCAGACCAGCCGAAAGCCCAGGTATTTTCCACTGGCCCCGTTCGGGTTGTGTTGCTGGTGTGTGTCTTGTCTGGAACTTACCCTGGGGGTCACCAGGAGCTTTCGTACCCTGAGCGTGAAGCGTTACAGTGCGGAGCTGAGTGGCCGCTGGCAATGATCCGAGCAGGAGAAGCCCTGGGAGAGGCTGGGGGAGAGGTGGGGCTGTCACCTCGGGGGGGCTGTGTGCAATTTTAGATCTCAGCTGCTGCTGGGTTCCTCTGTGTCCATCCGAGCAGAGGGGTCAGCGGGAGCAGCGGCACTCTCTCTGCAAAGCGCAGCTCCGGCAAAGGGCAGGAGTCGTTCTCAGCCTTGGTGTTCCTGAGCATGGAGCTGCCCTGGGGGGGTAGAGCTGGTCTGGCCCCTCTGTCACTGCGCACGGGCACCGTCTGTCACTGACGGATGGGAGTAAAATCCATTGGGATTTTGCCCCTGATCGGGGTCTGCTTCCTCCCACTTTTCTGATCCCTCTCCCCGCTCCCCTGTCCTTCCAGGAAGGTGGGGGAGACACCTCAGTTAAACTTTTCCTGTCCTTACTCCCTAACTCCCACACTGTTGTCCTGGAGATGAACAAGCACCTACTTCTGTGTGCCTGGTGTCACCACAGCCCAGCCCTCTTTGCCCTCCGGGGGAGTTCTTTAGGGAGGAGATAGTTGAAAGTCCTATGGTGGAAACGTGGAAAATTGCACTAAAAGGCTACGTTTCTTTCAGCCCCTCACCTTAAAGGGCAGCAGCCCCAGGGCTGTCAGACAGCTTCGTTTCCTCTGGCTTCTGCCAGACCAGGAGGCACCAAGTGTTTGTCTAATTCCAGTCGACCCTGGTGCTGTCAGTGCCCTGGGGTGACCCAGGCAGTTTGCTTCCCAGCAGCAGGTAGAAATACCCTGTAATTCCAAACGGGTAAAGCCTCTTGTTCCTTCCAGTTTATCCTCTCCTGGATAACCGAGGCTCAGAAGGCTGAGAGTCTTCATTTTTATCCCAATTCTTACAAAGTGCCAGCCTAGATATAGTTTAACCCTTTTCAGGTGTTTAGAGGTTTCCGTGGGGTGTTTCCCAGGCTCCCTTTGGCACCTCGCTCAGGAATTGTGTCTGTCGTGCTGTTCTGACCTGCAGGGCCAGGAGAGCGACTCGTCGGAGGCGTCGGTGCGAGGCCCGCGCATCAAGCATGTCTGCCGGCGAGCGGCGGTGGCGCTGGGCCGCAAGCGAGCCGTCTTCCCCGACGACATGCCCACGCTGAGTGCCTTACCCTGGGAGGAGCGGGAGAAGATTCTGTCTTCCATGGGCAACGACGGTGAGGGGGAAGCTGTGGGTTCCCTCTGGGCATTGGCACAGAGTCGGCGGTTGGTGACCGCTGAGGACGGGGACCTGGAGTGATTAACGAGGGAAAGTGTGTTAAACGGCTCTGGGCTCTCCCTTACGGCCGTTAATCCTTTTAGCCCTCGGTAATCATTATAAACATGTGTTCAGCACTAAACTTCTGCTCTGCTGAGGGGGGTGTGCACATGTGAGTGCACACGTATGTGTGTGTGTACATGTGTGTGTGCGCACACATGCTCACACCACCCCTTGTGTGGCTCTGCCGGTGGAGAGCCTGGTGTTCCAGGCATGAAAATCCACTCTGTGGGGAATAAATTCCTTTAGCAACTCAGACGCTGCTGAAGCTTTCTCTGAGATGAGTGGATTTACGTTAGAAATCTTTTTTTGGTAGATAAGTCTTCGATCGCGGGCTCGGAAGAGGCGGAACCGCTGGCCCCCCCCATCAAGCCGATAAAGCCAGTGACCAGGAACAAGGCGCAGCAGGAGCCGCCGGTGAAGAAGGGGCGGCGCTCGCGGCGCTGCGGGCAGTGCTCGGGCTGCCAGGTCCCCGAGGACTGCGGCGTCTGCACCAACTGCCTGGACAAGCCCAAGTTCGGCGGGCGCAACATCAAGAAGCAGTGCTGCAAGTGAGTGTGGGGCTGGGGCAGCGGGGGGCAAGCAGATTTACCCCCCAACACGGGCTCTGAGCAGATTTATCCTGGGTTGGGGCTGAACCTCACCAGGGGTTGTAAACAGTTTGATTTAAGAGCCAAGATCCTGACTCGAGGTGTGCTTGTTACCAGCTCTTCTCCTGAAGGAAACGGCCTCAAGTTGTGCCAGGGGAGGATTAGGATGGATATTGGGAACAATTCCTTCCCCAAAAGGGCTGTCAAATATTGGAGGAGGCTGCCAAGGGCAGTGATGGAGTCGCTATCCCTGGAGGGATGAAAAGCCGGGCAGATGTGGTGATGATTTTGCCAGTGCTGGGTCGATGGTTGGACTCGATGATCTGGAGGGTCCCTTCCAACCTGGGTGATTCTGTGAGTCTGGTTTATTATCCCCAGTTGGATGACACTGGCACAGTGCTGAGGGGCGTTGGGTGTCACTGAGAAGCACTGCTCTGCCCTGATTTTCCCTCTCATTCTTTACACACATCATTTAGCCTGAGCCCTGGGCTTTTTTAATCCCTGCATTAAGTGGACTGTACCAGAGTAGCCAGTCTCTCTGGAGAGGCCAGCACCGAAGCGGCAGCGATAAGGCTGGTTGGGGTGTAGGGGCTGTTCCTAAAGCATCGCTGTTGGGAGTGTGGGAATCAAAAAGGGGAAAATCAGAGGTTTCTTTTACGTATCTCTGAAGAAGGGAGAGGGGAAGAACAGATCACTTGGGAAAGGTAGTAGGTGTGTTGATCATGGGTTTCTCAGTTGTCCCTGCTGAGGATTTACAGAGTGCCCTCTTACTGCCTGCCTTTCCCTTCTGATTCCACACGCTCTTTCTTTCTAGAATGAGGAAGTGTCAGAATCTGCAGTGGATGCCTTCCAAAGCCTATCTCCAGAAGCAAGCTAAAGGTAGGCTCCAAGGCCGGGCTGGGGTCTGGCACAAGAGAGACCTTTTCATCACTTAAATCTTGCTCTTTGTGCTGTCATGGTGGCTGCACTGAGCTCTAGGTGCAGCCACGTGTCAGTGGGAGCCTGTGTGCACCGACAACATGCTTTGGATTTTTTGAGTACCATCTTTCCTTGGTACAACAGAATGACACCATTCTGCCATCACAGTGTCCCTCTCCTGGTGTTGAATCACCAGAAGTCACACCGTTGCTTCATTGACGCTTCTTCTTCCCAGCTGCCAAAAAGAAAGAGAAGAAGTCAAAGACAAACGAGAAGAAGGAAAGCCACTCTGGGAAGAACCAGCTGGACTCGGGGCAGAAACAAGTCCCCCCGCCCACCGTGCCGAGGGAGGAGGGTGCCGTGAAGCGCAGCAGCGAGCCCCCGCGCCGGCCCCCCGAGGAGAAGCAGGAGGACGGGACGCCCCCCGGCCCTGTGCCGGAGCCCAAACCGCTCCCGGCTCCCACCACCAGGAAGACAGGGAAGTCCCAGCCACCGCCACCACCACCACCACCACCACAGCCGCCCAGCTCCACACCCCTCAAAAAAGAAGCACCCAAACCACCCGCCTCGGAGCCGAAGAAGAAGCCCACTCCCCAGCCAGAACCAGGTAAATGGGCTCTTCATCCTCAGCGTGTGTGAGTCGTGTTCAGTAGCAATATTGCCACCACTAAGAGCTGGTGCATTTTAGAACCGATAGATGCTTAATGAGCTGGTGACATCACAGCAGATTATTTTGGAAATTTTGCTTAGAACAGGCTTCTCTTTCACTGAACTGGGGTGTGCACTGGAGCTGGGGGAGAGGTGGGCACCTCTGCTGGGATCTGTAGTCGCTGTGGTCATCCTGAGGTCTGGTTTCAGTGTTGAGGAGCCTGTTGGATGCCTCACTCCCTCCGGCAGTGAGATATGCAGGGGGTGAGCTGTAGGTTGGTCTGTTGGTACAAAGCACATCCTGCTGTGGCACGTGGCAGAGAACACGTGCGCAGCCACTGACGGGGCAGCCCCGGTGCCCGGTGGCTCTGCCCCAGAACCCACCAGGCTTTTCCCAGAGCAGAGCCCTGGCTGTGCCTCCAGGAGGGAGGAAGAGGGTGGAGAAATTCTGGGCTGAAATCCATCAGGCCTTACCCCGCCAGCTGCTGTCCCTTCTCTTCTCTGCAGGTGGCTCTCAGTCACTTGAAATAACTCAGTTTTTCCCCCTTTCCCAGGCCCGGAACAAAGCAAACCCAAAAAAATCGCTCCCCGTCCAACCTTCCCCGTGAAACAGAAACCAAAAGAAAAGGTGAGTTCTGTTTGTGTGGTCAGTGCCTTTCAAGGGCCTGGGCTTTTCTCTCTGCCTGGAAAGCAGAACTGTGTTACTGAACCCTCGGGCAGGTGGGGGTTTGTGCTCACAGACGTTGGGTTTTGTCTGGGCAGAACCCAGGTACCAAGGGCTTGGCACCTGCCTGGGATTGGGTTCAGGTGTTAACTCCTTCTCTCAGTCCTCTCCGTGGTGGGGTGGGGGTGGATTTAGCAGCTTTCCCATAAATATGGAACTGCCTTTGCCTCAGAAACTACTCCAGTAGGGAAAAAAATAACAACAATATCTTATTTAAATGTGGGAGAAGCATGCAGGGACCAGTTCCACCTGGGGCTGCCCACTGCCAACCCAAGCCCGGGCTGTGGGGAGAGAACAGCGCGATGGCAGAGGGAAGGGCAGCAAAGAACTGACACCCAGTGTGCAGTGCCCTTGGGAAACGCTTTGCAGAGCGGCTGCTTTTACCCACTTGTCACTCGTGGGCTGGTTTTGGGGTGTGGGTGTGGATTGCTGTAGTTGCTGGTGAAGTTCCCCCGTGCGGGGCTGACACGGCTCCTTTGCCCTGCCCAGGAGAAGCCCCCTCCCGTGAGCAAGCCCGAGAGCAGCACCCTCAACCTGCTCAGCACCCTCAGCAACGGCAGCGGCTCCAAGCAGAAGCCTCCTCCGGACGGAGTGCACAGGATCCGGGTGGATTTCAAGGTAGAGAGCAAAGCGGTTTGAGTTGGGTGTTTCCCGGCCGTAGGGACGGGGCTGGAGCCCGAGAGCGCGGGAGGGGGGGTCTCTGGTGCCCCGCAGACAGAGCCGCGCACAGGAGCCCTCCCAGAGTCACTCGCTCGGTCTTTAGAAGCTGCTTCTGCCTTTTTTCTCTTGTAATTAGAGTACAGGACGAAGAGACACTTAAAGCTTTAAAACCTTAACTCTCAGTGTGTGAGGATGAGCAAGAATGTGAGGTTTATGAAGAATTTTTCCATTAAGATGGAACTATAAAACCTTCCCAGCACTTGAGCCAACAAGATCTGGGGGGAACGTTAGTACCTTGGGATTCACCACACTTTGGGTGTATCTGGGGTTTTCAACTGAGAAAATCATGTACTTTTATGAACAACCAGTGTTGAAATAATAAAAATCAATATTTTCCTAAGAATTTTCCAGTCCATCTCTAAGTGTTGATGCCGGAGACTATAGTGAGATCTCATCAGTGTTTGATACCAATCTGGGGTCTAACTGTTCCACAGCCTCACTGTCGGTGGCAGGTCCATCCGGAGAGCCCGCTCCGCTTCTGTAGCGGGGGCCAGTGCAGCACTGGGGCTGCTCTGGCACAGCACCCGGCGTGGCCGTGGTTCAGGAGCGTGCGGAGCAGCAGCCCCTGCGTGTTCTGGTGTTTGTTGCCCTTTTCTGCCTGGTGACCTCTGCTTTTGTGCTTTCAGGAGGACTGTGAAGTGGAGAATGTCTGGGAGATGGGGGGGTTGGGCATCGTCACCTCCGTCCCCATCACTCCCAGGGTGGTCTGTTTTCTCTGTGCCAGCAGCGGACACGTGGAGGTAAAGCCTTGTGTTCTGCTTTCCTCACTGACTTACAGCACCCTCTTCCTGCGTACATAAATCATAGCACAGCCTTAACCAGAAGAAATTAAAGTAACACCTGTAAATCTGTCCTTGCTAAAATTAGCCCCAAGATACTAAGCTGCAGGCTATTTAAAATGAGTTAGGGAACGTGTGCGGTGCTTTGGAGCTGAGCTGTTAGAGATAGAGAACAGCCTCTTCGAGAGCAGCCACCTCTCCCCTGCACTGGGAATCCCACGTGGGGCAGGGGCTTTGCTTTCCGTTCCCGGGGAGTAAAGGCTGCCCCGTGGTGTCCTGGGCCCGAGGCAGGTCCTGGTGTGTCTGTACCTCCCGAGAGCTGGAGCCGTCACTGAAACGTGGCTGGGGAGGTTCTGGTGCTGCAGAAACAGCTGGATTTGGGCTTGAGAGGTGTTAGATGTTTCCAGACACAGATGGTGCCTTCTGGGGGCCTCCAGGTGGCTCTCCAGAAGGGGCTTGTGGCAGGAGAACGACACTTGGGGAAAGGGGTGAGGTCCTGCCCCAGGACGTGGGCTCCCCCGAGGGCTGTGAGGTGCAGTCGGGCCCACAGCCCTCCCCTCCTCGGTCAGGGTGCTCCAGGGGATGGGCTGCTCTGTCCCTGTGAGCTGGCAGTGTCTCTGCCCCGAGAAGACACCTTTTCTGGCATGACAAGCCCCACAGGGGACACGTAGGAATGGAAAGAGCTTTCCTGCGGGCCACCAGGGCTGGACGGAGGGAGACTCATCTCCCTTTGCCCTGTGGGTCCCCTCCTGCTGTACCGAGTCCTCCCGCTGCGGCTGGGCCGTGTCCCAGCCAGGGAGGAAGATGCTGAGGAGCCCCGTGGGCTCAGGACGCTCAGATAAGGGATACAAGCCCCCCCTCTGGGTAGAGGAGCGTGTACTGGGTTACCTGGAACACTCACAGTGCCCCCCTAAAATGTGTCAGGTCCCCGTTCTGTCAGTGTAAAGCGGGATGGGGAGTGTGGGGGCTGCTGTGGGACTTGGGGGCTGCTGTGGGACTTGGGAGCAGCTTCCGCCCTCCTAAACCCCCCCTCTCCCCCTGCAGTTCGTGTATTGCCAGGTCTGCTGCGAGCCCTTCCACAAGTTCTGCCTGGAGGAGAGCGAGCGGCCGCTGGAGGACCAGCTGGAGAACTGGTGCTGCCGCCGCTGCAAGTTCTGCCACGTCTGTGGGAGGCAGCACCAGGCCACCAAGGTACCCCCAGCCCCCCGGGACCCCCCCTCCCTCCGCAGCCTGGCCAGCGGGGGCTCTGCTGTGCTGGGGAGAAGCCCCTTGGGATGGCTTTTTCCTCCTCTTGCCCCAAGCCAAGAGAAACCAAAAACCTGTGGGATTTTGCCTCCCTGGAAGGGACTCTGTTTTCCCAACGCTTTCCCCTCATTCTCGCAGCAGCTGCTGGAGTGTAACAAGTGCCGAAACAGCTATCACCCCGAGTGCCTGGGCCCCAACTACCCCACCAAACCCACCAAGAAGAAGAAAGTTTGGGTGAGGGACCGTGATTTCTGTGTTGGGGTGTCGTTGGGTTGGGTGAGAGGAAGGGCCGTCGCCGGGACTTTGAGGGCAGGGTGTCTGTTGCCTCAGAAGGTGCGTTTGGAGACAGATGATGAGGGGGTTGTTGCTGAGGTTCTCAACAAGCAGGTTTTAGAGAGATCACACCTTTGTTAGTTGCAGTTATTCTCCTGACCATAGTCCCAGGAGCTCTTTGCAGTGGGAGTGTTTCCCTCGTTAACAAACCTCATGTGCTGCTTTGTGTCTCTCACGTTTTTGATCTAAACAAGTGCGAAGGCATTGCCTGTAGAGTGTTCAGTACTGAGGGTCTTCAGGTGTTCTCTGCTGCGATACCCTCAGAGCTGGAAAGCTGTTCTTATATTCCTTGTGTCAGGTCAGAAGAGATGTCACAGCTGTACATGCTGGTTTATGTGAAGGGAAAGGGGGTATTTTCTTTATTGCAAATTTGGAGAAGAACTACACTGTGATTTATTTTGATTTTTTTCTTATTGCATTATCACAGCCTTTCCGTAAAGGGAGGGAGCTCTTTTCTTTTCAGTGAAAGTCTTGGTGTCTGAAACTCTTTATTCTGTCATATGAAGCTCTTTGCTCTTGTTAAATGATACAGGCTGTGCAATGTTTGGTTAGTTCTGGAGCACAGAAGGCTCTGGGTAACAGCAGGTAACTCTCCCCCTTCCTCTCCCAGATCTGCACCAAGTGTGTCCGCTGCAAGAGCTGCGGCTCCACCACGCCGGGCAAGGGCTGGGACGCCCAGTGGTCACACGACTTCTCCCTCTGCCATGACTGTGCCAAACTCTTCGCTAAAGGTACGGTGGGAGGTGACTGGGCAGCAGGAGCCCCTCAGGCGCTGGGGCTGAGTGGGGCAGGGAGAGGGAACAGTGACAGGGGGCTGCGGGGTGCCAGTCACAGCACGGGCAGGAGGGACAGTGGGTGCCAGGGCCAGCACGAGAGCACGGGGGTGGTTTCTGTGGGAAGGGAGGCTCTGAGCTGGTGCTGTTGGTCGCAAAGGGCACCAGGGTTCAATGTCACTTTGGGGCTCCCACTGCTTCAGTGCTGTGCCGTGTGGAGCCGGTTCACACACCTCTTGGCCTGGGCTGTCCAGGAGCAGTGAAGAAATTTGACATTTTAAAGGACTCCTGACTTAAAAGCAGCAAAATTCCTATCGTAAAGTGATTGTTCCATCTTGTGTTAGTTAATCTGTGACACCGTTGAATCTGGAGGGGCTCTGTGGGGAGGAAGCCCAGGAGAGAGTCTTGGGTGTCCCACCTAGTTTCCTGCCTTTCGTTTTACTCTGTAAAGCTAATTGTGTGTAGGATTTTATTAGTCTCACCACCCCCAAAGCATGGGTACCCAGTAACGACGTTCCAGAGAAGGCAGGTTGTTTTTGTGGCCGTTGGTCGCAGTATTGGATGTCACTGTTGAGAGCTCGGCGGTAGGGCTTCGAGAGTTGCTTTCTCACACACCAGTGAGTGACCCCCAGCCTTTGGGGTGTCTCTGGCAGCTGAACCTCTGTCTAAAACCACCTCTTGTCTGCAGGCAATTTTTGCCCTCTCTGCGACAAATGCTACGACGATGACGACTACGAGAGCAAGATGATGCAGTGCGGGAAGTGCGACCGCTGGGTCCACTCCAAGTGTGAGAACCTCTCTGGTAAGGAGAACCCTTGCCTCCTCGGTACAAAGAGCGCGGGGCAGCGAGGAGACCAGAGCAGTCCCGCTTTGGGCCTTTCCACAACACCCTCTCCTCTTGTGACTTACCCAAAAAACACCTGTAAATGGCCACAGGTCATCAGGGCTGATGCCAGTGACACCCCAAAGCTCAGCATTGCCTCAAACACAGCATCACTGAGACCCACAGGGTGCTTTTGTTACATGAAAACTGTTTCAGTTGCCAGGTATTGCAGAGTAGGGTTTTCCCTGTCTCCATCCTTCAGTAAAGTAGTTAAGACTGGGCATTTGTTTTGTTTTTTGTCTGCAGATGAGATGTATGAGATCCTCTCTAACCTGCCCGAGAGCGTGGCCTACACCTGCATTAACTGCACGGAGCAGCACCCCGCCGAGTGGCGCCTGGCGCTGGAGAAGGAGCTGCAGGTCTCCCTGCGGCAGGTCCTGACGGCCCTGCTCAACTCCAGAACCACCAGCCACCTGCTGCGCTACAGACAGGTGAGGGGAGTCCCTGAAACGTGCTGTGGGGCGGGGGGGTTGGGGGAGCTCTGGTATTGCTGTGCCCCACACCGCAGCCCTGGCCGTGTCCTCCTCAGCACAGCAAGGGCTGGAGGTTCGGGTGTTTTGGTCCCTTCCTGTGGGTATCTGTAGCACAGCTTGTGAGGCTGAAAGAAAGAAACAGGGTAAAGGAATTCCTCCAAGGAGCGGGAGGGTTTCGCTCTGGGGTGGTGAAGGTGTCTTTTTGACAAAAGAACAGAATCTTAGTCTTGAAATATATATCCAGAAATATGAATTCTACAAATGAGCGTGATCCCTACAGCTGGTCACTCTGCTGTGCTAAGCTGGGTGAGATTGTTCTGTTGGAGTCACTACACTTTGGACAGGAATTCAAAACTTAAGTCTCATTTCTTTCACATTGGTGAGAGTCTCTGTGCCCACAAACGTCCCCATGAGTTGCCCATGCCCCTCTCTCTGTTCGCAGGCAGCAAAGCCACCGGATTTAAACCCCGAGCCGGAGGAGAGCATCCCCTCCCGAAGCTCCCCCGAGGGCCCCGACCCCCCTGTCCTGACGGAGGTCAGCAAACAGGAGGAGCAGCAGCCTCTGGATCTGGAAGGGGTGAAGAGGAGGATGGACCAAGGAGGTTACACTTCCGTGGTACGTCACAGCTTGGTGCTCCTGCTGTAGAACAGATCCTGGGAATTGCGTTATGGCAATGGGGGCGTTTATAAACGTGGGGTTTATAACTGAGCAGGCTTAAGCCTTTTCTGTATGGGCACGGAAATGGGTTCACGTGCTGCTGAAAGTCTTCCTGGCTGGCACTTGTGGTGACGTGGGCCCAGAGCCGTGTGGTTTATGTGGTGGTGTGGCCCTTCTGAACCAGTGGGGACACTCGGTCAAACCGTTTCTGCTCTTTGACGTGTCCCTTACGGAACCGGGACGGGTCGTCCTTCGTGTGCACATTGTGACTGAGACCCAGATAGCGCTGAAGGCAGGCAGGGAGCTGGGAGTCAGGAACTCAGGAGTTGGGGGTGGCAGTTCCACCGCTTCCCAAACGGTTTCTTTCCAGCCAAATTCTTTTTTCTGCTCTGAAGCCCATGCCCTGGTTCCTTGTTCTCGTCACCTGGATGCCTTAAATGAGCGGGGGGTGTACCCGTGCCAGAGACAGTGCTGCTAACGTTGAATTCCATGGCTTTCTTCCAGCTGGATTTCAGTGACGACATCGTGAAGATCATCCAGGCGGCCATCAACTCTGATGGAGGGCAGCCCGAGGTGAAGAAGGCCAACAGCATGGTCAAGTCCTTCTTTATCCGGGTGAGCCGCGCCACCGTTACTCTGGGATCTGCTTGGTGTCACTGGGGCTTGTTGCCCTTGGAATCCGCAGGGTCTGTCACACTTGCCATGGCTTGGGTGTTCCCAGGGATAAAATAACACGTTGTTGGAGCTGTTGGCGTCAGTGAGACCTTAGAGTTGGGCACTGACAGTGGGTCTGGGCTGGACATCGGTGAGGTTTTGGGTGTGTTCTATAAGCTTTCTAACGCAGTGTTGTTTTCCTTCAGCAAATGGAGCGTGTTTTTCCATGGTTCAGTGTAAAAAAGTCCAGATTTTGGGAGCCCAATAAAGTAACAAGCAAGTAAGTGATAGTTGTGTGTGCAGCTGTGGCCCCTGCCGCTGGAGGAGCCTGTTTGGGGTGGTTGCTGCTGCTCTGGGAGTTTTGGAAGACATTAGACACTAAATCCCATTCCCTGGTTCTGTAAACACTTCCCTGCTCTAAAGCAGAGGAACCCAAACCAGTGTTTAGAGCTGGGTGTGTTGTGTTCTGTCCGTCCTGTCCTTCCTCCCCGCTCCTGCTCCTCTTCCTCACAGTCCCCCTTCTGCACCCATTGCCTCCCAAACACACAGGCAGCTGTATCACAGACCGTACCCTGTACGTGACGGGTCGTAGCCTTTGCTCAGAGTGCGTGTGGACTGCAATTAACGAGTGGTTATTGTGTGCCGGGTGTCAGCGGTGCAGGAGCCCCGCGGCCCGGCCGGCCCTGACAGCCGCCTCCTTGTTGCGTTTCAGCAGCGGGATGTTGCCGAACGCGGTGCTGCCCCCGTCGCTTGACCATAATTATGCTCAGTGGCAGGAGCGAGAAGAGAACAGCCGCGCCGAGCAGCCCCCTCTGATGAAGAAAATCATTCCAGCTCCCAAAGCCAAGGGGCCGGGAGAGCCGGACTCACCCACGCCGCTGCATCCTCCCACACCCCCTCTTTCCAGTAAGGACACGATCACCCCAAACCCGGAGCGGTTCCCTCGGTAGTAGAGAGACCCGTGCCAGAGACAGTGCTGCTAACGTTGAATTCCATGGCTTTCTTCCAGCTGGATTTCAGTGACGACATCGTGAAGATCATCCAGGCGGCCATCAACTCTGATGGAGGGCAGCCCGAGGTGAAGAAGGCCAACAGCATGGTCAAGTCCTTCTTTATCCGGGTGAGCCGCGCCACCGTTACTCTGGGATCTGCTTGGTGTCACTGGGGCTTGTTGCCCTTGGAATCCGCAGGGTCTGTCACACTTGCCATGGCTTGGGTGTTCCCAGGGATAAAATAACACGTTGTTGGAGCTGTTGGCGTCAGTGAGACCTTAGAGTTGGGCACTGACAGTGGGTCTGGGCTGGACATCGGTGAGGTTTTGGGTGTGTTCTATAAGCTTTCTAACGCAGTGTTGTTTTCCTTCAGCAAATGGAGCGTGTTTTTCCATGGTTCAGTGTAAAAAAGTCCAGATTTTGGGAGCCCAATAAAGTAACAAGCAAGTAAGTGATAGTTGTGTGTGCAGCTGTGGCCCCTGCCGCTGGAGGAGCCTGTTTGGGGTGGTTGCTGCTGCTCTGGGAGTTTTGGAAGACATTAGACACTAAATCCCATTCCCTGGTTCTGTAAACACTTCCCTGCTCTAAAGCAGAGGAACCCAAACCAGTGTTTAGAGCTGGGTGTGTTGTGTTCTGTCCGTCCTGTCCTTCCTCCCCGCTCCTGCTCCTCTTCCTCACAGTCCCCCTTCTGCACCCATTGCCTCCCAAACACACAGGCAGCTGTATCACAGACCGTACCCTGTACGTGACGGGTCGTAGCCTTTGCTCAGAGTGCGTGTGGACTGCAATTAACGAGTGGTTATTGTGTGCCGGGTGTCAGCGGTGCAGGAGCCCCGCGGCCCGGCCGGCCCTGACAGCCGCCTCCTTGTTGCGTTTCAGCAGCGGGATGTTGCCGAACGCGGTGCTGCCCCCGTCGCTTGACCATAATTATGCTCAGTGGCAGGAGCGAGAAGAGAACAGCCGCGCCGAGCAGCCCCCTCTGATGAAGAAAATCATTCCAGCTCCCAAAGCCAAGGGGCCGGGAGAGCCGGACTCACCCACGCCGCTGCATCCTCCCACACCCCCTCTTTCCAGTAAGGACACGATCACCCCAAACCCGGAGCGGTTCCCTCGGTAGTAGAGAGAGGACTCCATGATCTCAGAGGTCCCTTCCAGCCTTGGCAGTTCTGTGAATTCCGGGAGGGCCGGGTTACTGTGTGTGATTGAAGGATTTTGGAGACCCTGAGCTGAGATCCTGCAGGGGCTGCTCCACGTGAGATGGTTCTGAGCGTGGGCCCAGAAGTGCATTTGCCCCTTTTCCCACAGAACAAGGGCTGTGGGAGGCTGGTTGGTGCTTGTCCTGGCTTTAGGAGATGCCTGTTGAAAACTGGGGGCTGCTGTTGGGCCCCTCTGCCCCACTCCCCTTGTGGCGGCCCTTCCAGATGGGTGTTTCCCTCCCTGGGCTCCGAGAACAAACAGTGTTTTCTCTGTCCCCCTTTTCTGTAAGGCTCGGAGAGGAGCAGAGAGGACAGTCCCGAGCTGAACCCCCCTCCGGACGTGGAGGACAACCGGCAGTGCGCGCTCTGCCTCAAGTACGGCGACGACAGCGCCAACGTGAGTATGGGCAGCAGGAGCCGGGCTGACGTGGGCAGCACTTGGCACTGGGGATGACTGGGATGCTCCTGTGCCTCGTTGTGTCTTCTGGGACCTCTGAAAAGAGGGTTTCCTCCCCTTCTGCAGGATGCTGGGCGTCTCCTCTACATCGGCCAGAACGAGTGGACGCACGTGAACTGTGCTCTGTGGTCAGCGGAGGTGTTTGAGGATGATGACGGTTCTCTGAAGAACGTGCACATGGCTGTGATCCGGGGGAAGCAGCTGGTGGGTATCCCTGAGGAGCACTTCCGTAGACCTCAGCTGGTGGACACACAACCAGGCCAGGAACCCGGCTAAGGGATTCCGTCTGTGCCATTTTTCTGCTCTGTCCCCTCCTTGAGGTTTTTTTTTTTTACACTGTATATAATAGACCTGACGAAAGGTACCCAAAAAATCCTTGCTCAGTTGAGAAATATCATGGAGACTAAAAGGAACTTGTAACGGGAGAACTGGAGCCGTGTTTTTCCCGGAAGGTCCTCACTTTCCAGGCGGTGCCTCGGGCAGCCGATGCCGTATCCATACTCACAGCCTGGGTTTAAAAAACACATGGAATATCTAAAGCCCAGCCTGATGCCGTGTTACAGCCCAGCACCTCCCTAGTCCAGGGGCTTCCCAGGTCTTCGTTCCAGCCTTGATGGCAGCAGAGGAGCTCGGAGAGAGAGCAGGCCTGTGCCGGGAGTTTGGCCTGGGTTAGATGTTACATGGGTACAACACAAATGGCAGGCGAGTGTTGCCCAGTTCAAGGTGTTGATCAGGGAGCGTAGACAAAGGATGTTGACATCCAGGTTGTTGGCAGCTGCTCCGTTACACGCTGCAAAAAGAGAGGTGAGGTCTCCTTCCTGAGCTCCCCGGCAGCCCCAGAGAGCGAAATGATCTTCTGTTGTCAGCTGGTGGCTGCTCACTTCCCAGAAGGACAAAATTATGAGACCGGGAGCATCACTCAGAATGAGTTTGTCCACATTTTGGTTTAATCCTGCGCCGTTTGGTCCTACATATGGATTAAGGCAGCAGCAGCAGCAGTGGGAAGGGCTGCCCTTGGCCAGAAGTGAGCCGTCCCCACGGGGAATGCTCCAGGCAGGGAAAAGCTGGGAAATACATGACTCAGGTCTGGAGTTTGAGCAGGAAAATCAGGCCTGGAGGAACCAGGCTGCAAACACAGAAGGTGTTATGTGCGAGGGATCCTTCCTCTTTCCTCCTCCTCCTCCGTGTCTCGCTGTGTGTATGAGTCGGTGGGAAAGTGCTGCAGCGATGGGCTGGGGGGTCAGGCCCTGCTCTGAACCCCTCTCTGCGCCCAAAACCCGACAGACAGCACTGATGGCTGTCCGCCTTCAGAAGGGCTTTGTCGTTCACTGTTGTTCCCTTCCGCAGAGGTGTGAGTTCTGCCAGAAGTCGGGCGCCACGGTGGGCTGCTGCCTCACCTCCTGCACCAGCAACTACCACTTCATGTGCTCGCGCGCCAAGAACTGCGTCTTCCTGGACGACAAGAAGGTTTACTGCCAGCGGCACCGGGACCTCATCAAAGGAGAGGTGAGACCCCCCCTGTCACCCCCAACACCTCTGGAGGGGGTTACCCTGTGGCTGTGAGCACTGCTCTGCCGTTAATATCACAGGGAAGTTTGGTGACTGTCACCGTGTGGCAGCTCAGAGACCAAAAGGCCAAGCCAAGGATGGAGTTAGAGGCACTGTGGAGCAAACATGTATGTGGGGGTTCCTTGAAAATTAACCACTCCTTTGGTGGGTTCTCATTCCAGGTGGTGCCGGAGAATGGGTTTGAGGTTCTCAGGAGAGTTTTTGTGGACTTTGAAGGGATCAGTTTGAGAAGGAAGTTCCTGAGTGGCCTGGAGCCGGAAAACATCCACATGATGATTGGTAAGAGCCGCTCTCTGGAGCCTTCACCCCGCTTTGATGCTGGAATCCGCTTCACGGACCTTTTCCATTGCTCTCTCTGCCCAGGCTCGATGACCATAGATTGCTTAGGGATCCTCAACGACCTCTCGGACTGCGAGGACAAGCTGTTCCCCATCGGCTATCAGTGAGTATCAGCTGTTCCGGGATCCGGCAGCTTGCGGTGTGTTGGGTGCCAAACCCCTGCTGGAGCAACACCTACACAAAGGGGCGGTGGCATTCCTACACTGCCAGGAACCTTGGGGTGTGCAGTGGGTTGGGCCAGGAGGCTTTGTCCCGTCAAACACTGCGAGACTGAACGTTCCAGCTGGGAATGGTGGGGTTTGCGGGGCTGCTCAGTGACGGTGTGGTGTGGGACCCCCCCAGGTGCTCGCGGGTCTACTGGAGCACCACCGACGCCAGGAAGCGCTGTGTCTACACCTGCAAGATCATGGAGTGCCGGCCCCCGCTGCTGGAACCGGACATCAACAGCACGGTGGAGCACGACGACAACAGGACCATCGCCCACAGCCCTGGCCCCCCCACAGGTAACCTTCCACACCCTCTGAAGAGCACATGTGGTGTGTCCCGAGCAGGAGGTCAGGGAGTGGCTGGGACCTGTGTCTTGCAAACCCATCTGGCCTGGAATCCACCCTGGGCCTCCCAGTGATGGTACCACATCTTGGGACTTAAAGATAAAAACCCAGCTCAGCTCCTGAGTGCACTGGGAGCTTCGGAAACTGGAGCCAAATGGAAACCATTTGGTGATGCTTCCTGCTCCCCAGAGCAGAGATTTTTCTAGTCATCTGAAACCTCAAATTGTACCTCAAGTGCTGGTGTTGGGATGTAGTATGGGGGCTGTTAATTACCCTGCTGAGCAGTAGCCCTGCCCTGCTGCTCCGGGCCCAAATGGCTTTCTCTGTAGCCACAGGTGGGTTTAAAAAAAATAAAATTAATCTCCACCATTTCCTCCTCAGTTGCTGGAAGGTGAGGCTGGGGAATATTGTTAAAAAGGTTATAATTGTCAACATTGACCATTGAAATCAACAGTAACTGTCCATGGTCATTATCAACATGGAATGTGAAACTCCACTAAAACATCCTGGAATCTGGTGTGCCAGCTGAGGTGCCCGTGTCACTGCCAGCACTGGACAACGTCCTTGGGAGGAGGAAGGGGCTGTGCTGTGGTAGCCAAGCAGCCCTAATCTTTGTGTTTGTTTAACAGCCCCCCGATTCCCCACAGGAGCCCGGGCAGCAATACCCACCTGATCAGGTCATAGAGTTTGGGGTTCAGTGAGGGCTTATGCTGCTGTTCCTCTCTTACTCCACAGACCCTCTCCCCAAGGACAGCCGGAACGCCGCTGAGATCCCAACCCCCCTGTCCCCCGAGCGGCCCCTGCACCCTCAGAGCTCCGGTCCCTGCCACCACCCCACGCTGGCCAAGGGGGCCAGGGCCAGGGCGCCCAGCTACCCCTCCGCACAGAGGTCTCCTGGCTCTAGGCCCTTGCCCTCCGCAGGTATTTCATGGGCTGAGACTTAGGGTTTGGGGTCTGGGAAATGTGTTTGGGGTTGGTTTGTGTCTCTTTTGGCTTCATTCAGGGCACAGTGTAGTTTTCTGTTTCTGGAGAAAACAGTGAAAGGTTTGAGGGAAGGGAAGTTCTGGAAACAGGCGGCAGAGCCAGCTGTGGGGAAACAGGCCACTGGGATGAAAATAGGGAAGGGGTGTTGGGGCAACACAGTGGCAGGGACACAGGAGCTGGGGGGAGCTGGGGATTTATAATTTCAGGGGGGTATTTTCCCAGGGAGAGTCAGAAATCTGCCGTTGACGTTCAGCTGCTGTTTCTGTGCGAATGCATCACGTTTTGTCTCAAACTGATGTTGGGAGTTCTCAACCGAAGGGGGGGTACAGCACCCCCAGACACAGATGTGGCAGCTCCGCGGGGGGGTACTGATTGGCAGTACCAGATCTTTAACACCCATCTCAAGCATCATCATTACCTTATGATGTTTGGCCCAAAGGGTCTTGTAGCTGTGGATTTTTGTGGGTTTTATGAAGGAACTGGGGGGGTGTTGACTGTGAAGGTCTCAGGCCCCTGACAGCCATTCCTGCCTTGTTTTCCTAGGAAGCCCCACCCCGGTCACTCACGAGATCGTGACCGTGGGGGACCCACTGCTGTCCTCAGGGCTGAAGAGCATTGGTTCCCGGCGGCACAGCACCTCCTCGCTCTCCCAGCAGCACCCCAAGCTCCGCATGGTCTCCCCCGCGCGCCCTGGCAACACCTACTCCAGGCACAGTGTCTCCTCGCTTCCTGGCGCTGCCGCCTCCTCGGAGCACGAGCCCAGGGCCGCCGAGCGCTTCGGGGGGCTGGGCAGCACGGGGGCTCCCTGCGCCCCCATTCAGAGCGGCTCCACCAGCTCAGGCCCCCCAAAACCCACAGCTGTGAGTGGGGGTAAATCCTACCAGCCGGACCCCTCACAGCCTGCGGAAGGCAAACATTCCAGCGGCTTGGATTTGGTCACCAAAGGTGTGGCTGCGAAGGGAGAGAAGGGGAAGATGCCCACCTCAAAGGACCCGGACTTTTCAGCTCATGGCTTGGCTCCTGGAGGAAACTCCAAAACGTCCACTCAGCCAAGCGGTTCCTTGGGCGCGGAAATGAATGTGAAAATAGGAACCTTCCAGGAGTGCTCAGGCTCCTTCTCTCCCAAAGAAGCGATGTCCTTCCCGCCTCTGCTGCAGAGGGGCCTGAGGAAGGAGCGGGAGCAGCACCTGGAGCCTGCGCAGCCAGAGAGAGCCACGGGGGGTGAGGAGACGGATGGGAAGGGCCCCAAATCTGCCGGAGCCAACAACCGATCCCCTGCGGCCAGCGAGCAGGCAGCCTCTGCCCCCCGGGACAGACGGCACAAGGGCAAAAAGCTCCCGAAAGAGAGTTTTAAAGAGAAGCATCCCCTGAAACCTGCCACAGAATCCAGTCAGGCGGCCGGTGGTGACGAAGGAAGCCTGAAGCCAGAGTTCGGCAATCAGGGCCTGGCAACCGAACCAATTAGCCAGAGGTTGTGTAACAATATTCCTGCTGAAAAGGCAGGTGAAAAGTCCCCACTGTCACAGGGAGCCTCAAAAGGTTCTGCAGCACCCCAGGAAGCGGCCTCCAAGGAGCCGCAGGCACCTCGGAAACGCACCGTTAAGGTCACTCTGACTCCTCTCAAGATGGAAAGTGAGAGCTCATCCAAAAGCGCCCAGCAGGAGAGTGATGCTGAGCCCCCGGCTGCGGGAGGGGAACTGGCCGCTCTGGCGGAGCCCTCGTCAGCTTCGGAGAGCCCGGAGGAAAACCCCGGCCTTCAGGGGAGCCCAAACGAGGCGCCGGCAGCAGAGCCTCCCAATAACGCCTTTGAGAGCTTGCCCGTTCAGGATAACAACCTCCTGCTGCAGGAGGGAGCCAAGGCGCAGGAGGAGGGCTCCTTCAAGCGGAGGTACCCCCGGAGAAGCGCCCGGGCCAGGTCCAACATGTTCTTCGGGCTGACCCCGCTGTACGGCGTGCGGTCCTACGGCGAGGAGGACATCCCCTTCTACAGCAACTCCACCGGGAAGAAGCGGGGGAAGCGCTCTGCGGAGGGACAAGTGGATGGCGCCGACGACCTGAGCACCTCTGACGAGGATGACTTGTACTACTACAACTTCACCAGGACGGTGGTGTCCTCCAGCGCGGAGGAGAGGCTGGCCTCCCACAGCCTGTTCAGGGAGGAGGAGCAGTGCGACCTCCCCAAGATCTCCCAGCTGGATGGAGTGGACGATGGCACAGAGAGCGACACCAGCGTCACGGCCTCAACGAGGAAGGTCAGCCAGGTCACGAAGCGGAGCGGCAAGGAGAATGGGACAGAGAATTTGAAGCTGGACAGGAGCGAAGAAGCCGGAGAGAAGGTACAAGTCCCCAAGAGCTCTGCCGTCCACAAAGGGGACCCAAAGCTGGACAACTGCCACCCCGTGAGCAGGGTGAAGGCACAGGGGCAGGACGCGCTGGAGGCGCAGCTGAGCTCACTGGAGACGGGCCGGCGGGCGCACGCCAGCACCCCCTCGGACAAGAACCTGCTGGACACCTTCAACACGGAGCTGCTGAAATCCGACTCAGACAACAACAACAGTGATGACTGCGGCAACATCCTCCCCTCTGACATCATGGACTTCGTGCTGAAGAACACGCCGTCCATGCAGGCGCTGGGGGAGAGCCCCGAGTCCTCCTCCTCTGAGCTCCTCACCCTGGGAGAGGGCCTGGGCCTGGACAGCAACCGCGGGAAGGACATGGGCTTGTTCGAGGTGTTCTCCCAGCAGCTGCCCACGGCCGAGCCAGTGGACAGCAGCGTCTCCTCCTCCATATCGGCCGAGGAGCAGTTTGAGCTGCCGCTGGAGCTTCCCTCCGACCTCTCTGTCCTCACCACCCGCAGCCCCACGGTGCCCAGCCAGAACCACACGCGGCTGGCTGTCATCCCCGAGTCCTCACTCTCCTCCTCGGGGGAGAGGGCCATGCTGGCCCTGCCCTCTGCCGAGTCCGGGGAGAAGAGGGTGACTGTCACGGAGAAGACGGCCTCGGGGGAAGGCGAGGCAGCTCTGCTGAGCCCGGGGGTGGCCCCCAGCCCTGAAGGCCACATGACGCCCGACCACTTCATCCAGGGTCACATTGATGCGGAGCACATCGCCAGCCCGCCCTGCGGCCCCGTGGAGCCAGGCCACAGCGCCAGCCAGGACCTGACGAGGAACAGTGGGACCCCGGGCATCCCAGTGTCGCCCACCGTGCCCCTCCAGAGCCAGAAGTATGTGCCAAACTCCAGTGAGAGCCCCGGCCCCTCGCAGATCTCCAACGCTGCGGTGCAGACCACCCCGCCCCACCTCAAGCCAGCTGCAGAGAAGCTTCTGGTGGTCAACCAAAACATGCAGCCGCTCTATGTCCTCCAGACACTCCCCAACGGCGTCACCCAGAAGATCCAGCTGACACCCTCTGTCAGCTCTGCGCAGGGCGTGATGGAGACGGGCGCCCCTGTGCTGGGGCCAATGGGCAGTGGGCTCACGCTGGCCACGGGGCTGAACCCCAGCCTACCCTCCTCCCAGTCCTTGTTCCCTCCCACAAGCAAGGGGCTGCTGCCCATGTCCCACCACCAGCACATCCATCCCTTCTCCACCGCTGGCCAGACGGGCTTCCCTCCCAACATCAGCAGCCCCTCGCCGGGCCTTCTCATTGGGGTGCAGCCGCCCCCCGACCCCCAGCTCCTGGTGTCCGAAGCCGGTCAGAGGACGGACCTGGGGTCCACCGCCCCCACCCCAGCTGCTGCCCTGGGCAAGAAACGCCCCATCTCTCGCCTGCAGTCGCGGAAGAACAAGAAGCTGGCTCCCTCGGGAACCCCCTCGGCCATCACTCCTCCCGATATGGTCTCTAACATGACCCTAATTAACTTTGCTCCCTCCCAGATTTCCAACCACCCTCTGGATTTGGGCACCATCGCCAATTCGACGTCCCACCGAACCGTCCCCAACATCATCAAACGGTCCAAGTCGGGGGTGATGTACTTTGAGCAGACATCTCTGCTGCCGCAGGGTGGGACCGGTACCGCGGTGGGCTCGTCCCCCAGCGTCATCGGGCCGGAGGCCAGTCACCTCCCCGCAGGGCCCGTCTCGGGGCTGGCCTCCAGCTCCTCCGTGCTGAACGTGGTCTCCATGCAGGCCACGGCAGCCCCTACCAGCGGCGGCTCCGTTCCCAGCCACGTCCTGGGCCAGAGCTCGGTGACGTTGACCAGCCCTGGGCTGCTGGGGGACCTGGGCTCCATAAGCAACCTGCTGATCAAAGCCAGCCAGCAGAGCCTGGGGCTGCAGGACCAGCACATGGCTCTGCCGCCCAGTTCCGGCATGTTCTCCCAGCTGGGGGCCTCCCAGCCGCCCTCCACGGCCGCGATGACAGCCGCCTCCAGCATCTGCGTCCTGCCCTCGGCGCAGACCATGGGCATGACGGTGGCTCCCTCAGCTGCCGACCCGGAGGGCTCATACCAGCTCCAGCACATGACACAGCTCCTGGCCAGCAAACCCGGGGCAGCTTCCTCCCCGCTGGACCTCGGCACGGCCTCAGCCACCCCCCAGTTGTCCAGCTTCCCCCAGCTGGTGGACGTTCCCGGCAACACCGGGCTGGAGCAGAGCAAGGCCCCCCCCTCGGCCATTCACGCCAGCTCGGCCTCTCCCGGGGGGTCCCCGTCCTCAGGCCAGCAGTCGGCCACCGGCTCCCTGCTGGGGCCCGCCAAAGCCAAGCCTAAAATCAAGCGGATCCAGCCTTCACTGGACAAAGGGAACGGCAAGAAGCACAAAACCTCCCACGCCTGGAGCGGCTCCTCGGAAGCACCCGCTCCCGAGCGAGGGACCCCCGCTGCACCCCAGCCCCCCGCTGCAGGGTAAGAGGAGACTTTGACTTTGCTCAGCCTCAGGGTTTTGTGACAATATAAGAATCTCACACTAGTTTTTCAGCACATTCCCCTTTTGAATGGTAATTCCTAAGGTAAAACCCCAGCTGCCACCAGGAAGCAGATCTCTGAAGGTAGAACTGTCACCTCTGGGAGGGGCAGGATGGGAAACCCAAGGCTCTGAGGATCAGGGCTGTGAGGAGTTTATTCACCTCTGGCAGCTCTGGGAAATCAGTGTTTCAGAGCCATCAGTAGAGCACGTGGTGCTCAGTGGGTGACGTGTTCCATGGGTTGATGTTGTCACTGGTGTAAGTGCTGTAGAAGTTCCTCGTGCTGTGCCAGTGGTGTGCTGGGCACCACAGTGACACTGCTGCGGTGTCCCCTTGGTCACTGCGATGACGGAGGTCAAACCACCGGTTCCTGTGAGCTCAGTCTCTCCAGTCTGGGGTGGGCTCTCCCTGCCCCCTCTAAAGAGGGCCTGGGGTGGAACTCGGGGAGCGGGAGAATCCCCCTCTCTGCTTTGTCAGTCGAGGACTCTGGACTCCTTGGTGGCACACGCGGCGTGGGCAGGGGTTGTGAATTCCCCCAATCCTTCTGTTGCAGGACTTCCGTGGTGAAGGCGGACACGCAGGACGCAGCGAGTGCGGAGCAGCTGTCTCAGAAGCCGTGCGGGCCGGCTGTGGGGTGAGTATGGCATGAGCCTCGGGCTCAAGGGCAGTGACAGAGAGAACGTGAGGGGTGTCACTGGCCAGTTTGGGTGTCCGGGGAGCCTTTGGTCGGGGTGAGGGGCCACACGGAGCTGCCATATGGGGCCACTCTTTAAGTGAAGGGCATAGAGCTGCAGGGAGCTCCCTGCGAGCTGGGAACAGCCTTGTCTGGCTTTGGCTGAGGGTCCCTCAGCACCCGCCGTGTCACTGATGGGGTGGCACAAAGGGCCCGTCATGGGCTGCATTCATTAGAGGCTGCCCACAGCCTGGCAGGACCCCTCCAAATAAACACTACTGAGTAGAATGGTTTTGTGTTTGTCCCCAGCTGAGCTGGTGTTGGAACACCCGCTCAGGAGGAGGGTCTTGCACCCCCATTTCGGGGTGTGCAGGTGAGTGCTGGGGCTGGCGAGGCCATGAGGCCGGCTGGTAACCGCTTCTCCCCATCTTCCCTCCCTCCCAAGGCCAACAGCTGCTCTCCCAGAGCCCCAGCCAGCCCCCAACCCAGCCAGCGAGCAAGACAGCACAGGTACGTCGCTGCTTCCAGAGCCCCCGGCTGGGACTCCTCCGGGAGGGGAAATGGGTACCTTGCAGCTTGGATTTTTGTGTGTCTGGTTCTCTCCGGAGAGCTTGGAGCTGATGGTCCTGGTGTTGCTTCGGGGGGAGGGAGGGTTTGGTCCCTGTTAGTAGATATTGCACAAATATTGTCTCTGGTTTTAACTTGTGGGGATTTCACCCTCTCGCTATATCACTCTCCAGGTTTTTTCTGGGACAGATGTGGGGGCCAAAAGGCCAGTTGGTAATTCCTGGTCACTGGTGGAATGGCCAGTGGGAACACACCTCCTGCCCGGTTCCCATCCGCCTGCCTCTGTCTGTTGCAGGCCCCAAAGCCCTGGAGGAGGAGGAGAGCACCTTCAGCTCCCCGCTCATGTTCTGGCTGCAGCAGGAGCAGAAGAGGAAGGAGTGTCTTGGCGAGAAGAAACCCAAGAAAGGTTTGGTTTTTGAGATCTCCAGCGATGATGGGTTCCAGATCTGCGCAGAAAGCATCGAAGGTGAGACCCGGGCGCTTGGCTCTGGCAGCCTTGGGCTTCCCTTGCTGGAGTCAAGTCGTGGCTCTGGGCATCTGGTACTTGCTTTTTTAATAGGTCTTTAAAAAAGTTGTTGATTTGTGGCCCTAGAGCAATTCTGGTTCCTGGCAATGTCTGAGTTGTATTGAAGAAGTTTGGTTGTGTATTTTTTTTAACATTGTCCCATTTTGTGTGTGAATTGACCAATGGAGTTGAACCATCTTTTGTCAAGGGATGGTCTGTGTGGCTCAGAGAGTGGGGGATCGAGGATCCTCCTCCAGCCCGAGGGCTGAAGGCACTTACCTGCCTTCGTGGCAAAGTGGAATTTGGAGGAGACAATTGGATCCGAGGGTGTTAATTGCACCCTTAATGAAGGGGGTGCAAACATCATGTCCCATCTGTTGGAACACAGCGTACTGCACACACACGTGGAATTCTGCCAATGGAGTGTTCTTTCATGAAAGGCTGATAAGACGCAGGAGAAGAGGAGGCATTAGAGGGCCTCGTGGTGGCAGTCAGGGCACTTTGTGACAGTCCTGGGCGCTCAGACACCCACTCACTCCCTTCTCCCCTCTTTGTGCCTCTGCAGACGCCTGGAAGTCGCTGACGGACAAGGTTCAGGAGGCCCGTTCCAACGCCCGCCTGAAGCAGCTCTCCTTTGCAGGTAACGCCAGGGCCAGAGTCTCCTCCGCGGGGAACCCGGGGCCAGGCTCGCTCCTGCTCCTGGGGGACCTGGGGGAGCAAGCACGTCTCTGTGTGAGGGACCTGAGGGTGTCAGCTCACCTGCTGCTTTCTGGAGGACAGTTTCTCCTGATGAAATGATAGAAAATCCCTATTGGAACAAGGATTCCGCCGCCCTCAGTGGAAGGAAGTGGGTGATGGAGGGCCCCTGTGACGATGGCGGGCACGAGTGGGGTGCAAGGAGCTCCCAGGCCACGCCGTCAGCTGGGTGTCGTTGTGCTGTTCCTCGCTCCAGGGGTGAACGGCCTGAGGATGCTGGGGATCATCCATGACACGGTTGTGTTCCTGATCGAGCAGCTCTACGGGGCCAAGCACTGCCACAACTACAAGTTCCGATTCCACAAGCCCGAGGAGGCCAACGAGCCCCCTCTGAACCCGCACGGCTCGGCCAGGGCCGAAGTCCACCTGAGGCAAGTGTGGGGGTGCTTTTACCCGGGGCTCAGGAAGGGCTGCCCTCACCCCGAGGCGCAGAAGGCTTTGGGAGAGGACGGGCAGGAGAAGGGGTGACGCCGTGAACGTCTTGAGCTGTTGTGGCAACCACGGCTTTGTCTGTGGCCAGTGGAACAAACTGCCTCTGTTCTCTACGTTGCAGGAAATCTGCCTTCGACATGTTCAATTTCTTGGCTTCCAAACACCGGCAGCCACCGGAATACAACCCAAACGACGAGGAAGAGGAGGAAGTGCAGCTGAAGTCAGCCCGGTATGGAGCAGGGGGAACGTTCAAGGGGGAAGCGATGCTGCCATGTTGGAATGAGCTGTTGGGGCTCAATTGTATTTAAAACTTTGGAGCTGCTGGGAACAAGGGAATGTGGGGGAGATTCCTCCTGTAGTGAGAGGGCCAGTGGCTGGGGATGGCCACCGGCCGGTTTTCCTTTGGGCAGAAGAGGGAGGAAATTCTCATCCTTAGACCCAAACCCACCACGTTGATCAGGGCTGTGCTCTCGCTGGGCTGCAGCGTGTCGGTGTCCGAGCTCCTGCCCCTGGGAGGTGTCCCAGGCCTGCACTCCCCGGGGCACGGGTCCCTGAGCAGCATCTCTCTTCCAGGAGGGCGACCAGTATGGACCTGCCCATGCCCATGCGGTTCCGACACCTGAAGAAGACCTCCAAGGAGGCAGTCGGTGTCTACAGGTACGCTTTGGTTCTGGGACAGGAGGAGGGGGGGAATTGGGAAACTTCCACGAGCTCAGGCTGTAAAACCAGGAGGAAGAAGTGGGTCTGGGGTTTTTCCCTCCTCCATCTCCCCTCCCGAATCAGGAAAATCCTCAGCACGATCTGCTTGTGCCTCGGCCTGACCTTGGTGGTAGCTTGTGCTCAGGCGTGGGCAGGAGAAACCTGGTGTTGCTCTTGTTGTGTGACGTTGGAGGAGAGGAATGATACACAGTGACCCTTGTACTGAGGCAGCGTGTCCTCAGCAGCACCAGGAACCTCCTCATCCTCTTCTGTGCTTGTACTGGTGAAATCCTCACTCATCCGGTGCTTTTCCAGGTCTCCCATCCATGGCCGGGGTCTGTTCTGCAAAAGGAACATCGATGCAGGTGAGATGGTGATCGAATATTCAGGCAATGTCATTCGCTCCATCCTCACTGACAAACGAGAGAAATACTACGACAGTAAGGTGAGTCGTGGGCTCCTGGAGAAGCTCTTAAAGGCTTGGGGAGAACTGTAAGGTGGCTGTGAAGGTAGGACAGGCCGAGGCCGGGTGAGAAATGCCTTTGGAAGGTCACGAGTTGGGATTACAGACCCATGGGGATATTCCCATCCCTGCTGGAGCCTGGGGGCTGCTGCTTCTCACCCCCCGAGGGCCAGGAAGGGGCTGGGTCCAGTCTTGGGGTGGAAGGGAGCTGCTGAGGAGGAGGGAAGGGCGGTTGAGGGTGGCGTCGGAGGCTGGAGGCCCAGTCCTGGGCTGAGCCGGGGTGTCTCCATCCCCCCGACCCGCCCTGACCCCCCCGTTCCCCCCGCGCAGGGGATCGGCTGCTACATGTTCCGCATTGACGACTCGGAGGTGGTGGACGCCACCATGCACGGCAACGCCGCCCGCTTCATCAACCACTCCTGCGAGCCCAACTGCTACTCCCGCGTCATCAACATCGACGGCCAGAAGCACATCGTCATCTTCGCCATGCGCAAGATCTACCGCGGCGAGGAGCTCACCTACGACTACAAGTTCCCCATCGAGGACGCCAGCAACAAACTGCCCTGCAACTGCGGCGCCAAGAAGTGCAGGAAGTTCTTAAACTAGACCTTCCCTCGGCTGCGGGGGAGCCCTGGGGGGTCTGGGGGGGGACCAGAGCTCTGAGAGACCCCCCCGGCCGCGGGGACAGAGCCAGGCTGGGCTCGGGGACTGCGTTTGTGTCGGAGCCCACGCGTTCGTGTCCCGCATGCGCACACCCACCCCGGGAGAGATGCGGGAGAAGCCCCTTGACGTGGTGATGGTTTTGCTGTTACTCCCCCCCAGCCCCGGTGTTTGTGTCTCGGCCTCAGCCTGGGGAGCGGTGGCCTGTCCTGTCCCTCTGTCCCTTGGCTCCGTGCTGAGCCTGCGGTTCCTTTCCTCCTCCTCCTCGGTGCGGGGCTGCGTCAGGAGTCGGTGGTGCAGGGTTTGAGCTGCCCCCCGAGGGGGAGCGATGGTACCCCGATACCCCGGGACCGTGTGTGTCTCTGGTCCCTCGTGCTCCGCGTCCACGCACTGTTTGTGAGCAGCCGGTGCGTTCCCTGGGTCTGGCTGGGCTGGGGTCACCCCGGAACTGGGAAGAGCGGGGACAGAGCAGCCCCCGAGGGGCTGGGGGGAAACTGGCCAGTGTGGGGCTCCCAGAGCCAACCCCTCTGCTGGGGAGTCCCGGGTTCTTCTGCAGAGACAGGGCTGGTGCCAGCGGTGGGGGCACTGGGTGTCACTGGGAGCAGAGCTGGGTCCTGTGGGATGGGCTCTGCAGGGTCCCAGGGAGGGTGACAGTGGTGGTAGCCCAGGGACCCCTTTGAGGTGGCCCGAAGCCCCCGGTGCCCGGTTAAGGCAGCGTCACCCCCTCCCCCCGGGCCTGCCCCCCAGCGAGAGCCAAGGACGGTGAGAAGCCCCGAGGGTGATGGGTGACGACATTGGATTTTACTCTGTTCTGTTTACAGTTTAGTATTTAAGGTTTTATAAATGTAAATATATTTTGTATATTTTTCTATGAGAAGCACTTCATAGGGGAGAGCACTTATGACGAGGCTTTTTAAACAGTGGTATTATCCTAATTTAAGAGAATCTCTTTTTAATGATTTTTTTATTTTCATAGGACGGTTCTAGGAACTGCCCGGCCGGTCGCGGCCGGGTCCTTTCTCCAGAGAGGGGGGTACACTTTATTTTTGATTTTTTACTCTTGTTCTGCCTTTTTGACTTCAGTAACTGTTTCCGGGAGGTTTGGCTGGACCTGAATCGTGATTTCCCCATCAGGTGGGGGGGCAGGAGGGGAATGGCCCAGCCCAGGAGGGGGTGGCTCTGAGTGTCCCCGTCCCCATCCCCGCACCGGCACCTGCAGAGGGAAAGGGAGATGAAGTGAGACCCCAGTCCCTGCGGGGGGGCTGCTCCGGGCGCCCCGTGTCCCGCAGAGGGGGTTGCTGTGGGGAAGGGAAGGCAGGAACCGGCCTGGCGCTTCCAGGAGTCCCGGCAGTGGGTCGGGGGCTGCTCTGGGAGGGTGTCGCCGTTGGTGGGGAAGGGGGGGGATGACCCCTGGGAGCTCTGCCCCCAACCCCAGAGCGAGACGGGGCGCGGGCACTGCCTGTTCCCCTTCGTTATTGCACTGTGTGGTGGTTCTTTGGCGATAAGCGCCGGGGAGGGTCCTGTTGCCGCTGCATTCGTTACTGAGGAGATTTGATGCACTGACAGTTGGGAACGCACATACCTGGGGGGGCCGGGGGGCCTGGGCCTGGGGGTCTCGGCCCCGTGTCCCGGCACGGCCCGTTTCCTCCCCATTTCTGACGGCAGCGCCGGGGTCATCCCCTGCCCCGGCCAAACGCACCCCGGGGGTTCTTCGGGGCAGAGGGTCGGGGGCTGGGGAGCCCCCCGAGCGCTGTCCCTGCGGTCCCCTTGCTGCTGTGGCCAGTGGGACGGTCTGTACCGGGCCCCAGGGGGGCCGTGGGGCAGGGACCGGCCGTGGTGGTGTGGGGCAGGCACTGCCCCGCTGCCCGGCCGGCGGGAGCACAGCGTCCCCCGATTGAATGTATATTTTAAGGACTGACAGATCAGGGGATCTGGAAATACTGAAAAAACCCAAAAGGAACCTTGGGGCGTTTATTTTTCTCTGTACAAAGCGCCGTGTTCTGCGTTAAGGAAAAGCGGGTCGTTGCCAAGGGCTGGGGGTCTCCTCTCTCCCTTCCCCCCCCCCCCCCCCCACCCCCCCGCTCCCTCCCTCGTCGCGGTTCCGAGTGTCGGGAACCACCTGCATCCAAGGAAAACCGTGCTCTGTGCTTTCCTGGTATCTTCTTATCGAGGTGCAGTAGCTTTGTCTCAGCCCAGAACTATTACTTGTGGTGTTTCTTTTATTGAGCTTAACGGTCTCTTTAGTAATTACAGGTAGTGGGTAATTGTTTCAAAAAAAGCAAAAAAAAAAAAGCAAAAAAAAAAAAGCTCTGCAAAGGCAAGGTTATGTTTTAGAAATACATTTCTTGACAACGTATCATGTATAACAAATCTCTGCTTTTTTTTCTTGTGTTCTTCCAAGCTTCTGGTTGTTTGGTTGGTTTTTTTTTAAAAAAAAAAAAAAACAAAAAAAAAAAAAAAAAAAAAAAAGGA